CAGGTAACCCGGACGTGATGGACGGAGTGGACCCCAACCTAGTGGTCGGTTCCTGCACCGATGTCATTGCAGGCGAACATAAGATCATAACGGCGGGCGGGTTTGATACTCACATCCACTTTATCTGTCCTCAACAAGCATATGAGGCTATAGCATCGGGTATCACGACTATGCTTGGTGGCGGCACTGGACCTAGTACGGGCACAAACGCGACAACTTGTACTCCTGGCAAGACGCATATCAGGCAGATGTTGCAAGCTATTGACGAATTGCCTTTGAACTACGGTATCACGGGCAAGGGAAACGATTCCGACATACGGCCTCTGCAACAGCAAGCTGAGGCGGGTGTCTGCGGTCTCAAGTTGCACGAGGATTGGGGAACCACGCCAGCTGCCATCGACGCTTGTTTGACCGTATGTGACGAGTACGACATCCAGACACTTATCCACACGGACACACTCAATGAGTCCGGTTTTGTCGAGTCAACGATTGCAGCTTTCAAAGACAGAACGATCCACACCTACCACACCGAAGGCGCAGGCGGAGGCCATGCTCCAGACATCATCAGCGTTGTCGAGCTCGACAACGTTCTCCCCTCATCCACCAACCCAACCAGACCCTACACCCGAAACACTCTGGACGAACATCTCGACATGCTGATGGTCTGTCACCACCTCTCCCGAAACATCCCAGAAGACGTCGCCTTCGCAGAATCCCGAATCCGCGCCGAGACTATCGCCGCAGAAGACGTCCTCCACGACCTCGGTGCCATCTCCATGATGTCGTCCGACTCTCAAGCCATGGGCCGTTGCGGCGAGGTCATTCTTCGTACCTGGAATACCGCGCATAAGAACAAAGTGCAACGCGGCACTCTGGAAGAAGATAAGGATACCGATGCCGATAACTTTAGAGTGAAACGGTACATTAGTAAATACACGATCAATCCTGCCATAGCGCAGGGTATGGGCCACCTCATCGGTAGTATAGAGGTAGGTAAAGTAGCAGACCTGGTACTCTGGACACCAAGAAACTTTGGCGTCAAGCCATCTCTAGTGGTGAAGAGTGGAATGTGCTCCTACGCTCAAATGGTATGTACCGCCCTCATATTTCTTTTTTGGCGACTATCATACTAACTTCAAACAGGGTGATCCTAACGCCTCCATCCCTACCGTCGAGCCCATAATCATGCGGCCCATGTTCGCCCCGCTGCTTCCCCAAACAAGCATAACATTTGTCTCGCAAGCCTCCATCGCCTCGGGTGTCGTGAAGTCCTACGGATTGCGTAAGCGTGTCGAGGCAGTGAAGAATTGCAGGAACATCGGGAAGAGGGATATGAAGTTCAACGATACGAGACCGAAGATGAAGGTTGACCCGGAACGGTATACGGTTGAAGCGGATGGTATGGTCTGTACGGCGGAGCCGTCGGAGACGTTGCCGTTGACGCAGGGATATTTTGTTTATTAGTTCAAAATCAGATGTTCACTACTGTCGTCGCAGAGACATGATTCTGCATCGTACAAATCTGTGATTAGCCCTGAATGCTCATTTGGCTGTGGGAAAATCGTGCTCGGATACTGCTACAAACTGCTGACTACTCTTACAATAATTGATGACTATCTCTGTCCTAGGAAGACTAGTGACCACACCAAAAAGCTTGATGTGCTTAGAAAAAAAAGTCTGAAAGACTTGCGCATCGTCGTTGAAGAAATCTCATCAACCCAACGATATCAGTCTCCTCTCAAACACACCACCACCTCCTCCTCATCCTGACCCTCAGCACCAACCAACTCGGCCTTCTCCTTCTTCGTCATGGGGCTCCTCTCCCTATCACCATGACTTAATGTAACCTGTCTCTTACGCTTGATAGTTGGCTCAAAGTCGCTCGCTGTCGGATTCAGCATGACAGTGCCGCTGACATCAGAATGTGCCATTCCGCCGCCGATTGCCTGCGTAAGTTCGGGTCCCATGCCTGTGTTGTCGATATGGTGCTCAAAGCTGCCCAGTTCCTCGCCTAGGGCGCTGAATAGCTGTCTCTCTAGACGGCCGGTACTGTCGATGCTTGACAGTGACACTCCAGTCTTATGACAGGGTTTGAACGGAGAAAGCTTCGTACTGTCCAAAGCGGTGTTGGTGGCTAAATGCGCATCAATAGCGTCCACGTCGATTACTTCAACTAGGTCAGGGATACCGTTTTGAGTATCATGTAAAGGTATGTCTTGACCCTTAGAGGCGAAAGTATGTACTGCCTGAGACCCTGAGTTTGGTGATGGTGGTGAGCTCTGGTCATGGCGCATTACTTGATCCGATAGTCTTGGTAAACTGGAAGTGAAGCCTTCTTTCCTGCCCCTAATATTTACAGTTGATGGGCCGTGAGCAGACCCAAATTTAGCAGGTTCGGTGGTTAGAGGTGGCGCCTCACTTCGATTGAATCTATATATACTTGAGAGGGCGATGGATGGGTCCCTCATCGAGACATCTGAGGTGTAAGTTGGCAACCTCTGTGCGAAAGGGTTTGGTGTGGGCACGCGATTCGCGTGCAAGAAAGGAGTGGGCAACCGTGACTGCGAAGGAGGGTAGTTTTCCTTATTGGTTGAAACAGAAAGATGGTTCAAGGTAGAAGGTTTGTCGTTTGCTTTATCTTGCGACCGTTGTTTAGTTGGTGACTGCTTGTTCGAAGCATTTCGTAGGACGTTGTTGAGTTCCGCATAGGACGACTTGCGAACGATAGATGCTGAAGACGGACGATTTACGGGCGGAACGATTTCCGGCTTCGACGGATGGTATGTGTGAGCAGTTGGCGGCCTACCAGCATTCTCGTGGTGCTGGCTACAAAACCCATGCTGTAATTCACGATTCTGCTTTGGCGGGCTCATGGCTTCAATGATCTGACCTAGTTGGTCGTCTCGAAGCGTGACGACGAGTTGTCTTTCCTTGTCTTTCCCCGGATGATGGTTTTCCCAGTCTGTGCTGTTACTCTGGTTGTATTGCGACTTGTCGGGCATCCATGGTGGAAGGCCCTGTCTTGATAAATGTGATGATGTGTACGAGCAATCAGGCATAGCCATATCGCTAGTTGAACCTGACGTAGTTCTCTTTGTCGACCAAGTATCCATGCTCACGTCATCGGCGCAACCACCGAGCGAGTTAAGAGTGTCGCCCCATGTACCCAGGCGACTGTTGTTTTTTAAGCTCGGAACTGGCTTCGAAAACTGCGATATGGATGGCAAGTGTGCGTTGGATCGTCGATTTGGCAAGATGTTGGGTGGCCTGTCGACATTGTACATAGAACGTTGCGATATCGGCGATTGCATTTGCATATCTCCTATGAAAGGTCGAACTTTGGGGGCCCAAGACAGCGTTGGAGACGTCTGCGATAGGTATGTAGCTCGTTCAAGGCCATTGGGTAGATACAGGGGGTTCCGTATCGGCCACGAGATTCCCGTTTGTTCCAAGATGTCTGTAATTCATCAGTATATGGATATGAATGGCATGTGTTTGATAGTAGTACCTTTTGGAGCATGCTGGAACGAGAAGCAGACAATATCGTTAGTGGCACCGACGTCCGCTTCCCCAGGGCTGGTTGACTTGGTGATCAGCTGTTCCGACAGTGTTATCCTTATACGTCCATTTGGATCGCGCGCATCCCACGAGCTTTGCATGAGGGTACGATGGTGAAAGGGTGGGAATTCGAGGTATGGCTTCTGTTGGCTCGTGGGGTAGTCATTGGTGGTAAGTGACCTCTTCTCATGGGCTGCGACATGGTCAGTTCGGATTATGTGTAGCATCAAGTCTACGTCAGCATACCGATCTCCTGGGGCCATTTTGAGGTAATGTCGAAGAAGCCACGACTGTGCCAATCAGCATCAAGGCTCCATGTTCAAAAGCTGAAGCACGGAGCTCACAAGACTCTAGCCCCGTCGACAATGACCTGAACAGTGTATACGACCTTCTGGTTCGTCTTCCGTCGGGATTCGATGAGCGGCGAGGCTTTTGATAGCGTAGCCCATGAGTGTACAGAGATGCGGAACGGCGTAGACGTTGGCAACGAGTTGATGTAACATGTCAAAGTAGGCAGCTGGCGACCATCTGCATGCTTGTGAGTACTGATGCTGGTGACTTCTGGAAGACTCTTGCAAGTGGATGGCGAAGACCATGGTACTCACACTCTTCAGGTGAGACATAACAGGCAGTCTTGAACTCCTGTATCGGTACGTGAGAGTCCTTAGGGAAGAGGATCACATCCCAGTCGTCGTAGCGCATGGCAGGTGTGGGGCTGCTGTTGTTCGGGTCCAAAAGAGCAACAAGCAATTGGCATTCGTGCCGGATGGGTGTTTTTTGAGGGGAGGTGGAAGACGACTGTTTATGAGAGTCAAGGGCTGAGCGACGGAGAGCACGTCCGCAGTTCAATATGAGGAAGGCACAATTGTCAGCATAGAACGTCATCGCAAGAACAACTTCATGTCCTGGGTAATCCTCACAAAGGCAATCGAATTCAAGCACATACGAAAGGGAGCGTATAAAGTAAGAAATGTGTAGTTGGATTGTAGCCAACCTATATCATTGAATAAGTATATAGGAACCGTTAGAAAACCCTTCTACTTGAAACTCGCCGACCGCCGGTTCGTGACATATCTTTCGAAGCCCTTTGCAGAGCCTTCTACTAGAAAGTCTTCAACCTTCAATCTAGAATGTTTCCTGTTCCAGGCATCTGTCATGATCCTATAACCAGACAAGCAATGCAGTGCAAATCCGAAAGAAGCGCATCTTTACAGCAAAGGCGCAAACCTTCTTGCTATGACACAAAGGAAACATTTTCTTGACGCCTTCTCTTGTGCATGGGTATACCATAATCTTGTTCGCCAGACGCCTCGCTAAAGCATTATGCCTTCATGCCCAGTAAGAATATAGCCACATCGTTGAATGAAGTAATTCCCAAACTCCATGCTAAAGCGGCAAACAGTATTTGATATGCGTATAACCGATGCGAGGGCGTAGTTGAACTACTGCGGAGGAAATTGCTGCGAGAAGGCACCGCCGAAGTCGGACGATCCGAAGCCAGAACCGTTGGCGCCGTTAGGAGGGGGTGAGACAAAGCGGCCAAAGTTTCCGAAGGTGGGAGTGCCGTTTTGACCGCTTGGGTTACCAGTCTGGCCGTTGGCGGGGTTGGTCGGAGGGCCTGCGCTCTGACTGCTGGGTCGCGAGCCACCTAGGTTGGTGTTCATCGAAGGTGGGTAAGGCGAGGGCTGGCCAGCCTGCGCCGGGAAGCTACTACAGAGCGATGTTAGCGAAGTACAAAGAATAGCTGAAATGGAGTACTATAATGCACTTTGAACAAAACGTTAGACAAATCATCCAAGCCAGCAAGCACGCAACAAAACACGCAGAAAATAGAAGAATCGTGTGATTGGAATGATAGCCAATCCCGCTTGGAGCAGCGCACAATCGTGAAGGAAAGGCAATCGACAGAAAGCAGCATCCGACCCATGCATGACTAGCTACATCCCATATGCTCCCAGGAATATGAGTGGCACGCTTTGAAAGGAAAGCCCGAAGGGGAGAATAGATGGCCTGTTATACAAAGACTCCCTTCTATGGCCCTCCGCAAGATCGGTGTCGTGAGAAGAAGTCGAGAACTTTTGGAGAACCGCCCGTTATAGAACTAAAGACCAAATCGCTCGAAATTCATCATGCCGAGTCATGAAAGGGGTCATTGCAGTAAGCCAACGGGATGAACCACGAATGAAGCGCCGTGCAAGCAATACAGAGGGAAAGAATGCGCTTACTGTAGCCAAGTTAGCATCAAACAAACATGTAGCAGGATGGACGATTGACTTACCTTCATCATCGGACCGTAACCGCCGCCACCACCGTAGGGGTGTTGCGGAGGCATACCCATGCCTGGGCCAAAGGGAACTGGTGGAGGTGGCGCAGGGCGGTAAGGGGTGCCAGCTGGGCCGGAGTTGTTCTGTGAGCGACCCCAGCTGAGACGAACGCGAGAGTTGCCAATCGGGTAGCCCTGCATCTGGTTGATGGCCATCTCAGCAGCATGGCGCTGAACGAACTGGACAAAGCCACATCCCTTGCCTGGAGGAATCTTGACGTAAGTAATCTCGCCGAAGCCCTGGAAGAAGGAGCGGAGCTCGTCTTCGGTAACGTAGCCGGAAAGGCCGCCGACGAAGACAGTGGTGTTGTTGGGGTCGGTGAACTGGTTCATCGGCTGGGGGGCACCGTAGTAGCCGCCCATTGGGGGAGCGCCCATGGAGTACATGCCCATTCCGGGGCCGCCGCCGCCTTGTGGCATGCCCATGCCGCCAGGACCTCCGGGACCGCCGCTCTTGTTCTTGGGTGTGGCGGTAGAGATGCGCATGGGACGGTTGCCGCAGTAAACGCCCTGCATCTCGGTGAGGGCCTTTTGCTGGTCCTCCTCGCTAGCGAACCGGACGAAACCGTAGCCGCGCGACATACCACTGATGGGGTCGGACATGATCTTAGCAGACTTGGTGGACTGGTACTTGTTCTGGAAGAGCTGGACGAGGACGAACTCGGTGACCTCGGGGCCCAAGTCTCCGACGAATATGCTGAACTCGGGACCACGCTCATCGCGGCTGCTCGAATCGTTAGTGATCACTGTCGTATATGGGAAGCCGGGTGAGACTTGCCTCCTGTCAGCAAGACCACCACCAGAGGCCCAGTTCAGCTTGAAAGGGCGGTTGGAGTTGGGGATGAGTTGGCCGTTGAGGGAAAGGGCCTTGGACGCGGCATCAGGGCTCGCGAAGTCGACGAAGCAATATCCAGCATTGCTGCTATGCGGTAGTTAGCCTGGAGACTTTTTCCTCGGTGATCTCCGTGCTTACCCGGAGAACTTGTCACGGATCATCTTGACGTTGACGGTCTCGCCCATGTTGTACCAGATGCTGCGCACAAAGTTCTCGTCGATCCAGGGCTCGAGTTCACCCATCCTGCGCCATATTAGCATTGGTGTTCCCCCACCTAGAAGAAAGCTATCGGAGCGCGCGCATTGCGGTCTGGTATACACCATGCGCCACACAGGCGCGTATGCGGACTCACCAGAGAGTCGTCTTGCCAGCACCTTGGCCTTGGCCGTCGCCACCAGCGCTGCCTGGCGGGCCCATGTTGCCCTGGGGAGGGAAGCCGTTGCCGGAGGCGTCCATGGGCTGACCCATGTCGCCGGGCTGCGGGGTTTGGTTGTTCATATCGCCCTGGGGCTGGCCCTGGAATTGGTCGCCGTAGCTGTTGTTGAATGACATGGTCGATAGATCAAGCGGGGTAATCGGTTGAGCTAACGGAGGTGGGGAGTAAGGTTACGGGCTCTAATTATGATAGAGAACTGTAGAGTCTTTTAAATGGTCTGCGCAGAAAAAGCAACCATTAGTGTCGGTGAATGAGCGCGCAGAAGGTCACGCAGCGGGAGCAGGGTAAGGGTATTGCAAGGTGGCAGACTGCACTTACCGATTAGATCCGGCTCCTTCTATCACTGTAGAGAAGCGTAGCCTGCGGAGGCGCGTAGGCAGTTGGGCGTATAAGCCAAGGAGACAGTCGGAAAAGCGGCGACAGTAACTCCGGATCGCACGAAGGAGTGGGCGGGTGAGGGGGGGCGTGAAGGAGTGACCGTGAGGAAGCTCGAATGAAATCTAGGCGGGCGGTCAGTCGCAGAGTCTTGCTGCTAGGCATCACATGCGGCGGGCGCACGAGGCCCAGGTCACGACAGGTGCTGGCAACACCCACGGCAGCAAGAGCGCGTCGGGATGCGCGACTCTGGCTCTCGCTGATGGGAGAGTGCTGCAGGCCGGGCGACCAAGTCCGTGCAGAGCAACGACGTCAGTAGGCGATGGGCACACAGGCGTAGCAGACGGGTGGTGTCCGAATTGATTGTGCAATCCGCCTGTGATGCGACCATGGCCGGATGCACGAAATTGTGCAGTGGGCGACCCGCCAAGACGAGATGAAAATTGCTAAGAGAGATAAACATACCGAAAAAGCTCAAGGGCACCGGCGGACGTGAGAAGCAGATGAGATCCAAACACCACAACGCAAAGGAATCAGAGAGGAAAGACGCTCGAAGACGAGAGTGCTCGGTTGTGTGGGAGGAAGGTCGGTCGGTGGGCGGGGTCGGTGGAAGAGCGAAGAACTGCAGATGATGTACGGCGCCGAGAATCCGCTAGGATTTACTTCGCTTGGATTTGGTAGCGATGGCAGCGCGAACCTGGGGACGCGGATGGCGTAGACCAGTGCTGGTTTAAGCTTTCGATCGATACAAGGATAATTGCGCTGAAGCGACCCAAGGATGAAGCGGCTCCATTGCGAGTGGCCCATCGCATCTCGCTACAGAGGCTCAACACGGCTGCCACGCTGGCATCGACCAGATGAAGAACGGTGCCGGCTGCCTGCGATCTACTTTGCGTTATTAATAGGCGACCCACCCCTGGCACCGTAGATGACTTGCAGCCAAAAGTCGTCACTGGGCTGTTGCAATGTGCGGGGCGGTGCTCCTCAGGCAGAGGCTCCATTGCCTTTCCAATCACCATCTTTCCACCCATGCCCGCATCGCATCTCTGGGCTCTGCATACACAGGCTGCGCAGTTTTGCGCCGGCCGAATCACACACTTGTACCGCCATGGCCTTCTCCATTCTCTCTCAGTGGCCCCGCCGCCTGCAGCTAAACGGCTGGTCGCTGCGGCACTCACCCAATGAGCTTGACACAGACATATCACGACCGTTGTGCTCTTGTGGAGCTGTCAAGGCACTCATCAAACATGGGCAACGGCTACTGATGATCAATTCAATACATGGTCAAGCCTATCATTGTTCGTATTGGTATCTCTTAGTAAGCAGGTTTCTATCATGTCAACCTTCTCCCAGGTTTCCTACAACGCCTGACCAGTGAGCTTCTCTGGGATGCCAGCAGCAGCCTTGGCCTCGCCCAGCTGTTCGCGACCCTCGGCGAAGACCTTGTCGAAGTCGTACTCGAACCACCTGATATCCGGGTTCAACCCAGCAAACTTCCACTCTCCATCAATCTTCTTATACCAGTGCATGTTGAAACTGTGGGCGTGGCCCTTAACCGCGACCTTTGTGCGTGTCTCATCCGTGTACCTCTGGTGAGGCACACGGAGCTGGTGGTACCCGATAATCTCGTCCTCTGACGTCTTCTCCCACCGTGTACCGCCGATGAAGTGCTGTGTCTTGAGGAGGGGGTTGCCTAGGACGGCAGGATCCGACGCCATGGCGACAAACTCATCTGCAGGCATTGCCTCCCAGATCTTGTCCAGGAACGAGCGGTAGTCAATCCTCAGTGTTGGTGCGATGCATTTGCGGAGACGGTCCCAGTCCTGCTATGCGTGAGTAATCATCATTCAGTAGTGCTGCATGTAGACCGACCTTGCTATCGTAGCTGTCTGCCCACTCGTAGCATGCCGACTGGCAGCCCATAACATCTAGACTTGTTAGTCACGTTCGTAAGAGGTAGCATCAGAAGACTAACCCTCGAACGTAGGCTTCAATTCGTTCTTCTCAAACATGATGGCTTTTATTTCTGAAGATTGTAGGAGATGTTTAAATTGCTGTATTACTGTGATATTTCAACTGTATCTCTACAACATAGTCCTTCGTCTTTATATCTATCGTGTTGCATACTCTAGCACTTCTATTTGCGTCGACTTCTGCGACGTTTGGCTTCGGGTCCCCGCTCAACGGGGTTCCGCCATCCGCATATTCGAGACTGCCGGTGCGGTGCCAGCGGTCACGAACGGGGCCGAGGACATTTTTGGAGGCGGAAGTCCCTGTGTTTCGACTTGGCCGAAATATTTCTACACCATAGTGGAGTCGTATCGAGAAAGTGCTGCAGGGCAGTTGCTGCCGCGACCCCTCGCGGAAACAAAGAAGATGCACGGGCCTATGAAACACCAAACTATCCGATGGTGCGCCGTACCTTCAAACTTCCTTCATATCCAGATTTAGTAATCGAGTTGGTGCGCGTTCGTTCGGTTTCGTCGAATTTCGCTGCTAGCAGATTGAGAGACCGTTTCGCCTCTCATGGTTATCCGATCGACGAAGCTGCTGCCAAGTTCGCGACAATCCGATCCGGGCCCACCACCTCTGAGGGAAAATGAACATTACACAGTGAAAGCGACGTTTCTCTTCTCTGCGCAACGCAATGCAATGCAAGAACAACAGACCCTCGAAAGAGAAAGGATGTTTTCGTTCAAAGAGTACCTATCTAGGAGAGCCCCCGCCAGGAAAGGAACAATAGGAACATAGCTCTTGTTGTTGCGCTGTGTCGCAAAGAAGACAGGCACCGTCGCAAAAATGGCTCATATATTCCTGGGAGGGAGTGGCCCTGCTCTTCGTGAAAACGGCCAACATAGACAAGTACATCTCCAGTCCCACATCTTTCCTTCTGAATGGTCGTACGCAAGAGATCTACTTGGCTATAGGCAAATTGGTCGCTCTCAAGCGCCGACATGTGGTGTGATGAGAAATAGCGAGCCAATCGTATACCCAGCAATCCTGCAGCTGTACGAAATACCTGTCCCGATTTCTTCACGATGTCGAAAATGAGTAGCTGCCGCGCGCTCTCTCTGCGAACACACGATGAGCTTCGAGCAGAATCCTCGTACGCACCAGACTCGTTCGTGTTGATTGCTTTCTGAGGATCTTTTTGTTTACCTTGATCGTTGATGCACCTAACTCCGCTGTAAATCCAATCTTCGAGGGACTTTGCAGCCTGTCACCAGGCTTGTCATGACAGATATACTCGCATGGAAACCACCATCGTGGTGGGCTCCCGATGGCATTACCAAAGCCCTTTCTAAACCGGACCTGCGTACGTTCGCATCAGGATTGCTCCATGGGGATCGTTTCAGACGGATCAGATCCGCATATGCGAAAGCGGAGCGATGCAGAGTATGCTGTAACAATGCCTGGCCAGATACATCAGGTGCACGCGTCTTGGTTGGTAGTTTACTCTCCTCTGCTGGAAAGGGGTGTGCAGGTTGTTTGACCCTATGTGGTATCGTAAACAGGTGTGCCTTGATTTCCAAGAACTCGAACCAGCCGTTTGAGCTTTCTCTGGATAAATGGGTATCATGCAGAGTGGAGAGATCAAGACTGGTTTTGGAATGCTACCCAACTGCGTCGTGGGAGGTGTTCGCGCCGGAAAGTAAGTATCTGAAAACTGCAATGAGCACTGCACACTAACGTATTCAGATCTCGAAAATCCATGGCGAATACCACATCTGCCCCATGAAGTAATTGCGAATTCTGGTTCAGACCAAGCTGTTGAACGAGCGTCGTCGTGGCTGCAAGATTGCGAAGACAACCACGAGTTGTGCAGAAGTGCCAATTCGAGCCTGCCAACTCGCGTTATCTCGATCCAGGGGCCGAAGACTATCAAGTTGTACGAGACTGATGGCGAATTTGAACCCTACGTCTGTCTAAGTCATTGCTGGGGGCCGGATAAAATCACCACAACTGAGAGGGCAACTCTATCCGCACATAAGCAAAGCATTCCATGGCAAAAACTTCCCCAAACCTTCCATGACGCAATCTCTTTCGCTTTCCGACTGGGATACAAGTACGTCTGGATCGACAGCCTTTGTATCGTACAAGATAGCAAAGAGGACTGGCGAAGCGAGGGTAGTAAGATGGCGCAGATATATTCTGGTGCCGATTTCACCATTGCTGCTACCGCATCAAGTCGCCCGTCGGAGGGGTGTTTCCGCCAGACTACGAACCGCCCAATCAGCATCTACTCGTATCCCGATATGAACGGCTCGATGTTGGATGTGTGCGTTCGATCTAGCATAAATCATTATGCATGGAGATATGGCGAATATCCCTTGCTACGCCGTGGATGGACACTGCAAGAGTGCCTGCTCTCACGAAGAATCTTGCACTTCACAGCCGAGGAAATGTTCTGGGCTTGCAGGACTGTGAACAAATGCGAGTGCTCATTCTGGTGGGACGCCATGACATTACCCTTCAAAAATCTGCGCAGCCCAAAATACCTTACAACAATACATTCCTCGGATGAGATGCAATGTACGGTTCTGTGGCATCATATTGTCAGCGAGTACAGCAGTTCTTCCTTGACATACAAAGGGGACTGCTTTCCAGCTTTACAGGGAATCAGCAAACAAATGCATCAGCTCAAGAGGTCAGCATACGTGGCTGGACTATGGGAGAACAGTATAATGTATGACCTACTATGGTACTCCGATTACAAAGACAGAACATGCAGACCAGAGGA